GGCGAGTGCCAGGGGATCTGCAGCCGCAGACCCGCCACGTTTGTGCTGTGTCTCCGTATTTTTCCTTAACCTCACGCAGGATGCGACAAGGCTGAAAAATCCAAGATCTGCTTTGTCATGTGGAAGGAATAAATCGGAATAACGGTGCCCACAAAGCACCGTTGTACCTGCCGGGGTGTCCCTGGCAAAGGTTTTCGGTGCTCCAGCTGGATGGGATGCTCCCGAAGGCTCTTCCCAGCCCCATCCCTCGGCTCGGAGACTTGCTGGGCCCCGAAACTCACAGCCCTTCGGGTCCAACTCCTGCTCGGGAGCTCCGTCAAGAGCCGCGGGATGGATGGATGGACACCCCCAGCACCGCCCTCCTCCTCTCATTTATTATTTACAGCCCTCAATTGAAAAGATTTACGGCCACTTGGAAGTATTTCCAAAGGCTGTGTCTTCGGAGAGTTTGAATAGCTTGGAAGTGAATTAAACCTCAGTGCAAACAACCTGGTCCCGCCGCGGGCTGCCAGGGCTCGGCTGCCCCGGGGCTGTGCATCGCCTTGAATTGAACCCGGGGTCCTGCCGGAACGGATCCAGCAGATCCTATCCCGGGGGTAGGGAATGGGATATCGTGGTCCTCAGAAAGCCTTTGGCTTTCCACCCGCTGGCAGGATGGAGCTGGGCTAGAATAGGTGTTAATCAGAGCCCTCGCTAAGCCAGCGCGTGATGCTTTATGGATGGGGAAACTGAGGCACGGCTGGTGGTTGCACACGCAGATGCATTAGCTGTGGCTCATCCTCACGAAACACTTAAGGAAGGACTTTTGCCACCTTGTTTAATGCCTCCCTGTAATTAGGACACGTTAATTCAGGCTGGATGGGCAGGGATGCTGCGGGGCCCTGTGGCCGTAACCGCTGGGGGAGCTGTAACCGTTGGTGGAGCTCCCCTAAATCCAGATCACTGGGGGGAGCTGGTGGTGAGCGGTGAGGGGGATGTAAAACTCATTTTCTCCTGCACTTTTCAGGATAAACTCCCACTTCTCTGCCAGGATGAGAGTCATTGCACCAGGAGGGGAAACTGAGGCACGATGCCACGGGGAGGACTTGGGGCCCTGGAGCTTGGGGGGGTTTATTGAGTGAAACTGGAGCATCTCGAAGAGCATCGAGACAGGACTGGGCTGTCAGAAAGAGAAACGTAAAGAGGTGTTTTGGTTTGCAAGGCTGCCGGAGACACACCTCGCTGCAGCCCTGTCCCCGCGCCCTTGGGGAGCGCAGTGTCCCAGGCACCCCAAGGTTCCCTAAAAGTTCCCTAAAAAAAAAACCCCATAGCCTCATCAAATCCCCATTTTTTTAACTTAAAACCATCGACGAATGCTTCACGCTCGCCTTCGCTACCGCCTTCCTGTAAATTAATCCTGTAATTAAGAGTAATAGACCCTGAGCCGGTACCGGATAGAGCCAGAAATGAGCGCTGGGCTAACGGGCAGCTCCCGCCGGCTCCGTCCCGAATTCCGCGTGCCAGGCGAGTTATTAAGCTGTGTCATGTCTTTATCAGGCGAGAAATGCTGGTGGCCATCAAAGCCCACTGGTGTTAAATGGGGGCAAGGCTGCGCTGAGCTGGCCAGCACGGGCAGAAAAATCCCTTGCCAAATCCCGGGGGACCCCGGGCACTACGTGAGCAGGAGGTTTTCCCTGGATAAGCTGAGCTCAGGGGTAGAGCGAGCCTGGAGGGGGCTTTTCAGGAGTGCCTGAGAGTTGAGCGATGGGGAAACTGAGGCACGGAGCTGTCACAAGCTGACATCTCCCTGCTCCCCTGTCTCAGCTCCAGTTATTCCTAATGATCCATGTGTTCGCCCACAGCCGGCCGATACATCACCCGGCCGTTTCAGCCTATTGCAACTAATTATCCATGGGATTTCCCATTAATTACCGGCTGCTCTTTGCCTTCAGCATCCCGGGAGCCGCTGCGGTGACCGATGTCCCCCCTTCCTTTGCTCTCTTGCAGGTAGCGGCGCTGGAGAGGCAGATCTTTGATTTCCTGGGCTACCAGTGGGCACCCATCCTGGCGAATTTTTTACACATCATGGCCGTTATTTTGGGTATTTTTGGGACCAAAAAAACTCAGTTCCCGATCAAAATCCCTCCTGATGGTAGGTACTGCTGTGGATGCCACTCCCCGCGCCCAGGTGCAGCATCGTCATCCCTGGGGATGGCTCAGCCCCAGGTCCCCTCTGGTATCCAAACGCTGCAGATCCGGCGGGATGGAGGGAGCTGGGTGTGGGGGGGTGTGGACTGGGGGGTGTCCGTTTGGCATGGGTGCCCTCACCGGCTCTCTTCTTTGGCGGAAGCGTGCTGTGGGTCGGCTGGAACGCCTTCATCATCTGCTTCTACCTGGAGGTCGGACGCTTGTCGCAGGTAAGCCCCTCCCAGCACTCCTTGTTGCCTCCTCTTCCTCCCTCCATCCTCCTCCTCTCCATTTTCCCAGCCTTCCTGCTGTCCTACCTTTGCCTTCCTCCTCCTCCTTCCCCTGCCCCACAGCTCTTCCCCCCCAAAAAAAGGAACCCAGAGCCTGTGGGTGCCCTGGCCTGGGTGCTGGGAGTGCCTTCCCCAGGGGGGTCCTGGCTGCAGCACCGAGCACCCAGGTGTGCAGGGGATGGACAGACGGACGGTTCAGGCTGAGATGGTGGTGGGGCTTTGAAGTGGGAGAGCAAAATTAATGAGGCTGAGGGATTGCAGGGTGCTCATTGATCGCTGGGGTGCGCCGGGGTTTACAGGGTGCAGAAATTGGACGGCGCCGTGTCCTGATGCGCTGCCGAGGAGATGGAGCAGGGAAGGGACACGGGGAAGTGGGGACATGGGGGTGGCAGGAAGGTTTGGGGCAGGGTCCCCAGCAGCTCAGCTCATAGTGCAGGCAGTGGAGTGGGGAGGAGGACACCCCACTCCTGTAGGTTCCCAATTTTTCGGGGTCTCCTGGGGCTCTGCAAGCACCGCTCAGCCCCGGCGCACCCGGAGCACCTGGCAGCTGCTCCCTGGGCATCACAGAGGGCTCGGGGGAACGCCCTGCCCCTGCCCACGGCGGGGAAAAGGGCTCTTTGGGGGGTTCGCAAGGACCAAACCACCTTCTTGTGTTTCGATGAGTTGTTTGAGACTCTTCTGAGAAGCCGAAATGCCGGATACGTGCGGAGGATTCGCTGCCACCGAGGTTTTTTGGTGGAAACCCTCAATCTCTCAGTGACGCCGCAATGCCAGAATCCCCTCTTTGTGCTTCCCAGCACCGAATCCCACCTCCTTCAGTTTTAGAAACCGAAACCCACTTTCTTTCTATTTTTTCCACTCTCTACCCACAAAAATCTTTTAATCCCAGATGGGCGCTTTCCTACAAAGGATGCTCAGTGGGTTGTGAAGCTCCCTGCAGACCCAAGGGCTGGTGGTGCGGAGAGGGGCTGGGAGGACCCACTGGGTGATGGGTGCTCACCCAGCTGTGCTGGGGGGACCCCACAATGCAACGGGTGCTCCCCCAGCCATGCTGGGGGACCCCATAATGCAGCAGGTGCTCACCCAGCTGTGCTGGGGGGACCCCACCATGCAGCAGGTGCTCACCCAGCTGTGCTGGGGGGACCCCATAATGCAGCAGGTGCTCATCCAACTGTGCTGGGGGGACCCCACCCCACAGTGGGTGCTCACACAGCCATACTGGGAGGACCCGCCGGGCGATGGGTGCTCACCCAGCTGTACCTGCATGAGCCCATCCCAACCAATGCCGCTCCCGTCTCCCTGCCAGATCCATGGGCATTGGCATTGACCGTGCTGTGATGGCTCCTGAGATCCAGCTCGGACTCCATCCTGCTGCTTTTGTTAAATTCCCGCTCAGCCTCGCATGAGCTGGCTATCGGGAGGGCGTGGGCAGGGGCTGGGGGATTAGCCCCGCGTCTTATCGGAGGCTGG